TAAAAATCAAAATAATTCCCTTACATTCTCCACCTCCATCAGTTGAGGCATCCTTGGCTCCTTCCCTAACAACAATAGCCTCATCTTTCCTCTCCTCCTTGAGCTAAATCTCCCTCATCCTGTCTTGCAATTAGAGCTCTCCCTTCTTTAATGAGTTGAAAGGTGGGCGTGTCAGTCTCTGTGTTGGACTCCAGGAGGCTGCTGCCACCTGCCACCCTTTTTATCTTTATTTGTGTTCTTGGGGAAATTGCAGCAATCATTTGAACAATATACTGTATGCAAACTGTTCCATTAGCCTCCAGGAAGCCATCAGAGTACTTGATTTACTTTGATACTGATTCTTGGAACTTATAAATGCAAGCAGAGTTACCTTTTCACAGGGTCAACAGCAATACTTGTGGGATGACCTATGTCCTTTAAAAGGACTCGGGAATTATTTCCATTCATATCAGTTGCTTCAATAGTTGCTTTCTGGTGGTTGGCCCAAATAATATCTTGATTTATCCAGTCGATGGCAAATCCTGAAACACCTTTTTCAATGTAGCATAGTCTCTGTCCACAGAAATTAAAAACATAATATACAACCCACATTACCATTGTCACCAAGCAAAACAGTGACCTGCAAACACATTGAGATTTCCATTTAAATCCCTTGGCTGTCTTCGTTTTAATAACACCACAGAGACTGGATTTCCTTTCTTGATTTTTAATCACCTTGATTTGTGCTGCATTTCTCCCTCTCCTTCACCTACATCTTTAAGCGCAAACCACTGAGTTAAGTCATTCTGAGCAAGGATGTGCTGTTCTCAACTGAAAATAGATAACACTGGGTATCTCAGTGTTGCCTAGATTTTCCTTTTTTCCTACATTTATTTCCAAAGCTATAAAATATCCATTCACACACCGAAAAAGCCCTAATCCTTCTCGTCCCTGCATGCAGGATAAGGCGTGCATGCAGACATAGGACATGCAGTTCATTGCAAAACTGAGAGCATCTTGGGTCACGGAAGCACTGAAGTTCCTTTTTCTTTGCTACATAATCTAGGCAGACATAGAGCATTATACAGCACTGTTTGGGTACATCTACACTACAGCGCAATTTTGGGATACTTCTGGTATCCCGAAATAGTGTTTTCCACATCTTGACAGCGTGCCCCTTATTTCGAAATGTAATCAAAATAACGGGCGTGCTATTCTGATGTCCTGGTAAACCTCATTCCACGAGGATTAAGGGACTCGATGGAATAGAGCTCTTTTTTGAAATAAGGTATACAATTTGCATAGCTCAAATTGCATAGCTTATTTCAAGCTAGTGCTGCAGTGTAGACATACCCTGTCTGAGCAAGAGGGTAACACTTGTGGCCACATGACCCTTGTTCTCAATTTGTCATTTCAAAACAAAAAGTCAGAGGAGTTATATGCATTCTCTTCATATTAGCCATCCCCATTTCAAATGGACCATTTGGATTTCTGAAAAACACTATTTGAAAAAATTCCATAATTTCAGTGATCTATTCAAAGCTGGTAGAAATTAGTATTGTCTGCAAGAACAACAACCCTAGATGTGTCTGGACTTTCTCTCCTTAGCCTTTATTCTATTGCTTCCCCTCCCATGATTGCAACGGTCCTGTATTGTGAAAAACAATGGGTTAGTAATGGGGAGGTTTGTGTTTAGTTGGCTGACAAATCTACTATGCCAGGGATACTACACTAGAGTTGCAAATTGGTAAGCAGAAACTGCACCACTATCATCTGAAGTGGTGCCCCTCACATCAGATATGTCATTAGGCATGTTTTCTTGGAGAATTCTATGGAAATTACCACCTTACCTCTTGTTTTGTGCCATTCAGGTACACTCGTTGCAGAAGTCCTTTTTCAGAGTCCACCCAATACATTTTCTCATCTTTGTAATAAAAATCTATGAGCACTGATAGGCCAGCATTAGCAACTAGCCTTTCATGATTGGTCCCCTCTCTATCAATTCTAAAGATCGCATTTCCATGACTAAAAATTAGGAATGGTGCAGGATCTGAGGGGGGGAAAGAAATGTGGTCATACATGGATATTTTCCTTTCATTACACTACATTTTTTCAGTACTGTGCCAGTTACAGAGTTGAGAAGAACTTATAATATTCATACCTCTCAACAGTCAGCATTCTAAGGGTCACTGCCCATCTTAGTCTCAGACTTCCCTGTGTTTTACACAAATGTAATGTCCCCTCACTTTTTAGTGTTGACAGTCAGTTAAATAAAAAAATCACAGACTCATGAAACTGAGAACACAATGTTATGTACACTAAAAGCTGGAATCCCACCCCCATTTTAAGCTTCTTGTATGAATACTATTTTTGGTGACCCTCATTTTGGGTCTTAGTGAAACCGTGCAAGGCCACCTTTGAACTTTAGCATGTGATGGGAAAATCAAAACAGAGTAATTATCAAGTGAAGCCAAGATTTCCACAAATTGAAGTGCCTACTTGTCTGCTGTAGCATACCTGTTAGAGATGAGGGCCCAGAAATCTGAAGAGTTCATGCAAATGATTCAATGCTCTCATCTAGATATCTGATAAATATGGAGCTATTTAATAACACAGAACCACAAAGATTCTACTGATAAACTCAAAAGGCTGCAGCATAAAATAAACGTTAGGAAACAGTAATTCCTATGTTCCTGCAGACTGCAGGTTCCTCCAGAGCTGTTGTTCAGGAATCTCAACGTTCCCCTTGAAAGTTTTTCCTGGTTGCCTTGGGCTGGGAGTGGGATCCGGGATGCTTCCTGTCAGCAGCTAGGGAATGTTCTAACTGGGCTCCTGACCTGCTGTTGGATGCGCCAATGATGGGG